TATGTGAAATAAAACAGGAAATTACTCTATACAAGCTGACAGCGAATCTTAATAATCAATTCCAAAAGCCAGCTGCGCAGCATAATACTTCAGGTATAAACTTCAAAATAGGACATCACTGAACAGATCTGTTACAATGGTTACCAGGTGAGACTATAAGTTGAAACATTGTGGGTTAACTTTAAAAAGTATTTCAGCAAAGTTACCTATTGCCCGAGTTTACTAGCTATAGGTTTAAGTTGATTCTTGTTTCCAAATCTGAATTAAGCTCATGTTTATCAAAATAAGCTATTGACCACCTGATTGTTTTCAAGTTCCTATAATTAATCTGTCATGGCATAGCAACAGTCAATGGTAATTGACTGCATCAGGACGAAACATTCTCAGATTTCAAAGCATGTGGCATGAACACTATGTTAAGAGCGAGTTAGCTGGGTTTAAGGCTCCTTTCAATAGTATTGTTATATCACTGCTTGTCAGGTGAGTAAGTGAGTGAGTTTAGTTTTACGCGCACTCAGCAATATTCCAGCTACATGGCGGCAGTCTGTAAATAATCCAGTCTGGACCAGACAATCCAGTGATCAACATCATGAGCATCGATCTACGCAATTGGGATACAATGACATGTGTCAACCAAGGCAGCTAACCTGACCACCAATCCTGTTTGTCACCTCTTACGACAAGCATGGGTTGCTGAAGACCAATTCTAACCCGGACCCAGATTGATGTGAGTGAGTGAGTGAGTTTAGTTTTATGCCTCACTTAGCAATATTCCAGCTATATGGCGCCAGTCTGATGTGAGAGTATAGTATAAAGTGATGCAGGTATTAGACCATTACTACTTTGGTATGGGGCTGAAATGGGGTGAACCGGGATTTAAATCAACAATCATAGGTTCCTAGCATGCCCAAGGGACACAACTCTACACAGTGAATAAATGTGCCATAGGGAACTTGGACACTTTGCTATGAGACCTGATTGGACAAAACTTGCATGTTGCTGTGATATGAGATATAATAAAGCTCAGGCCAGGGTGAAATGGGTAATACATAAATACACAAGTATATGACACTCGCATGTATATTTACACTGCACTTACACAAGTCATTTAAAAAAATGATATTAACACTGAAAAGTCAAATCAGGCAGATGTCCTTCAATTGCACATGCGATTCTGTTCATGTGAAAAATAAAATGGATTGGCTGTTAGCATTTAAAGTTCATCAGAATACAGTGTTTGGACTGTTCACTAGGTCAACGGCCATTTCATCTTTCTGAATGTGCATTATTTCATCAGCAAACAGGTAATGTTGTCATGCTATTACAGGTTGTTCTGTCAGTAGATTTATTGTAGATGGTTGAGTTGGGTTTTGAGCCGTTTCGAACATTAATTCAGTTATACCATGGCTTCTTGATAAATGATAACCAAAAGCCCAAAGTATGGTTATATCACGGCTGGACACCAGAAATGGGCTTCACAGTGCACCCATGTAAGGAATTGAACCCGGGTCTTCGGCGTGACGAGCGAACGCTTTAACCACTAGGCTACCCCACTTCCTCATCAATACAATGACTTGACCAGGATACAGATAGCATGTAACTGTCTAGAACACTGTATCCCCTACCCAGGATCCAAGTGGTCTTAAGAGTGAGTTGGATATGATGTAAGCGAGTGAACAATATTCCAGCAATATCACGACGGGGAACATCGGAAATAGGCTCCACACGTTGTAACCACCATGTGGGGAAACTAACCACTAGGCTACCCCTCCGCCCTGGATATGACTGACTGACTGACTGAGTTTGGTTTTACGCCGCTTTTAGCAATATTCCAGCAACATCACGGCGGGGGACACCAGAAATGGGCTTCACACATTGTGCCCATGTGGGGATTCGAACCCCGGTCTTCGCCGTGACGAGCCAACGCTTTAACCATTAGGCTACCCCACCGCCCCCCCCTGGATATGATGTCACTTGGATCATTATTTCAGTTATATCATAGCTTGTCACACAATGAAGCAGAAAACCCAACATGATACTGATCAAAGATATTCCAATTTTTACCATTTTCTGACAGACCAAGAATCATAATGCATGCAAATCTGTGATGCAGATGCTGGACCATCTGATCCAGGCTTGCAGTGCACGCGAACACCTGGTGTCATCACTGATTTTTAGTGGTTGTTTCCTATGATTTTCATAGCTATTTTGCCCTTGACACAAATGGATTCAATGTGTAAGGATAGTCGAAACTGGGTATTCTTTTGCATGGACAGTTTATGTCAATATATATTAGGTATGCATATCTGCATCTAAGACTTAAGGGCACTACACCATTGGGCTATCAACACAATGAAGATAATAAGAAAATAAGTCAGTCCTCAAAACAGTTTCAAGAAATCAATTCTGGCAAATGAACTTAAAGTTATTAAAGTTGTTTAAAAAATATGATTTGGCAAAAGGATTTTTAAAACTCTGAAATAACTTGTCAGGCCAGGAAATTTACCTATTTTATCCCTTATGACATGTGTAAGTAGTCTTTAGTTAATGAGTGAAAGAGTTTGGTTTTACGCCGCTTTTAGCAATATTCCAGCAGTATCACGGAGGGGACACCAGAAATGGGCTTCACAGATTGTACCCATGTGGGGAATCGAACCCGGGTCTTCAGGCTTGATGAGCAAACGCTTTAACCACTAAGTTACCCCACCGCCCCTATTTACCGTAGTTAATGAGTGGCTGGTTGGGTTGGTGGTTAACGCCGCACTCCATCTTAATGGCAGCTGTCTGTTAATAATTGAGTCTGGACCAGATATTCCAGTGATCAACAGTCGATCTACACAACTGGGATACAATGACATGTGTCAGCCAAGTCAGCTGACCTGACCACCTGATCCCATTAGTCGCCCTTTACGACAAGCATGAGTTGCTGAGGACCGATTCTAACCCGAACCTTCACGGGTCAGTTAATGAGTGAGTGTTGGCTCTATTAGCGATATCCCAGTGAATATGGTTGGGTGAAAATCATGCTTTCTGTATTTACTCCAACAGCCGAAGAGAAATTGATTAGTTTGCACCCGACTTTGATAATATAAAACATACTTACATCCACACAACTATCTACAATGAAACATATCTTCCCCCATACCTCACATTTTGATTCACGTCTTTGACACTAGATATCAGAACCAGGTTCAACCGATATCAAACAGGGGACCATAACTAGCAGAATCACAGATGATGAAACACAGAACAGAGAAAATGAGGTTTGCTGCCAGAAAGAATACCACAATAATTATTTGGTATCTGCTACCAAGTCGTAATATCTGTCACCACACTGTGTTGATCACTTTGCCAGGAACACAGGTATCATCAGCCTACCCTAAAAACATCGACTATAAAAGTAACACATTTAGCCTTAAGCAGCTACTTAGCATCATGGCCTAAGCTTCTAGAAGTATCTGCTGCTGTTGCTATGGTTACAGAACATCAATGCTTCCTGAAAAACACTATTATTGATGATTCTTATCTGGAGCCTATTCTGAAAACATAAATTCACGAAAAAAGTTAATAAAACAATGGCAGTGTGATCATTGTACGTGTCCAGTTTGACAAATATTGTCTTCATGCCAGAACTAGTCTAACAGAACTGATTTTCAGACATCAAAAAAGAAAGACAATTTCATCCAAGTTTCTACACAAAGTTGTCTTTCTGTCACTTGCATGAAGCTTCTGGTTTGTGGTCAAAGTACAACATTATTTGGTGTTCAGAAATCTCAACCAGACCAAGAAATCATTTCCCAACAACCTAATAGTCAAGAACAATATGATAATTGTCAGAGGTACATTTTGTGACAAGTTTCCAAATTCATCTCACAATTCAGACATAATTCACAGGTAACTTCTTTGAGTGGCATTTTAGAAGTTGGGAAGTACAATATAGAACAAACTTTATGGATAACAACTTCTTTTTATTGGTGAGTGCTACGTTTCGATACAGATTCTTGTACCGTTTATGCTTGAAAACGGTACAAGAATCTGTATCGAAACGTCGCACTCACCAATAAAAAGAAGTTGTTATCCATAAAGTTTGTTCTATATGATAATTCACAGGGTTTAGACCTCTGGGCATTAAGACACCTTTACAAGGTAGCGACACATGGGCAGTTCTCTCAGCACATAGCATCAACATGATCTTCCTTTCACGAACAAGATAAGACCTCACAGGACCAGGATAACAGGGACGTGGATAACATACTGATCACGCACCATTACACCAGGGATCTTCGACTCACTGTTCTTCAACCAAGAGGTACTTATTGTCACATGTTTCAGGCTGTATCTCAATGGGAACCTGTCCACTACTTATACAATTACAAGAATTAAGATTCTTTTAGTTTAGGATTTACTTGAGAAAAACAAACAAATATCAGCAAAGAGCAAAAATATCACTAAAATTGTTTATTTAGCTACTTAGTTAGCACTAACACGGTATAAGGTAGCTGTTGAAACTGGAAAGGTATCAACATTTAGAAGCTAGTTTCACAGTACGACCATATTGTAAAAGATGTCCAGGATGAATTTCATGTTATAATTTGTCCTGTGTACTGTAACTTTAGGATCCAGTTCGTCCACCCATACTATTTACTACTGGAAGAAGCCTCGACCATTAAATCAGTTATTTCATCACAGAACACAGAATGCCAAACAACGTTTCAGTGTAGGTATTATCTCTATAGAACATGTTTCTTAGAAATTGAACTAATTTAATTCAGTACAAATTCATCAAGTTTTGCTTTAAATGTATGATTATAACAAGTACTTGCACTAAATAGTTTAGCTTGAAGTTAATGAAGAATTTGAATTTGTATATAAACTTTAATGTTCTTAGCTTATAACCCATTTAACAGTGCACCCTATACATAGTTCCACACTAGTCTAATAAACAGTATCGTTTAAAGTCAAAAAAGGTTTTGAGTTTGTATAGAAATGGCATCAGTTTAACCCTATTTCAATACTTGGTGTTTCCACGCTGCTAATGCACAGTACAGCTGAAAGTTAGTGAAGGTTTTGAGTTAGTATAGAATTGGCATCAGTTTAACTGTATTACTTTTTCTGCTGATTCAGCATCAGCCCCTACTACTGCCATCAAGGGAGATAATTCCTGTTGTGGATGACATGTAGCTCAGACTGGAGAAATATCTAACCAGTCAGTGTTTCACTGGCTTGTGTACACTACATTCCCCCAGCACTTTAATACAGTGGATCTAAACTGTGTAGGGATATTTTGAGCGGAGTCGAGGCTGCAAGCATGAAACTGACTGACTGAGTTTGGTTTTTACGCCGCTTTTAGCAATATTCCAGCAACATCATGGCGGGGGACACCAGAAATGGGTTTCACACATTGTACCCATGTGGGGATTCGAACCCGGGTCTTCGGTGTGACGAGTCAACGCTCTAACCACTAGGCTGCCCCACCGCCCCTGCAAGCATGTGAGGGGATCCTGACAGTAATCTGATCCATCAACACTCGGATAACAACACATCATAACAAAGATGGCTAACACCGTGATAAACACAGCAGCAGAAATGACACAGAATTTGAAAAGATAAAATGTCTTTCTACGTTGCAGGAATCCATGTATTTACAAATTCCTGTCAGGTCATAGAAAAATCTATGAAAACAGTTCCTGTTGCATAACATCACAAGATATGCTTTACACATTTCCTCAACATCAGGACATGGTACGGTTCCTGTATGGAGTCTGTCTGGCTCAAGCTATATGATTAGTACAGCCTTGTTTCATTAACTGACTTAATTCAGACTCATGTCCTCATTGCTGTCAAATATTTTCAAGGGTGTAGGAGGAACTTTGTGTCAACAAGCCCATGAAGTACTGACAATGTACAACAATTCACTACCTACAAAAATAATTGAAACTTCCTGTGAGGCCACTTTATCATTTTATCACACTTGACAACCATAAGTAGTGTAGTGTAATTATGCTGAGCAATGTTCTAAATTCATTGGGTCAAGGGCCCTTGAGATGTTCTCCTGTTATACCTGAATATGAGGGCCCCAAAATGTTAACCTTCTATCATTGTCTAAGACTCCTAGATTATCAAGCTTAATTTCAAATTTTGCTGAGTTGTACTTTTTGAACTTTAGGGTAAGTGAGTGGTATCTACTATTGCATCTGTAAAGCACTGTCAGTATATATAAAACTTCAGTGTTTGTCTTCCCATTCCATCTACAGAGGTGAATGAACAAAGGTTTACCAGATAGCAAGGAACGCACTCATTGCTTGTGAAATTTACAGCATTCAAAATTAAAAGGGTCCTGTGTCCTTGACTTTTGCTGCTAAAGAACTGTAATCTACAGACCCCTCAATTTCAAATATTCAACATTTGGGTCTTAACTTATGGATTTTCCAGCTGAATTTTGCATTTTGCACTGCATTCATATCGGCCGTACAGACCGGATCTAAAACTTAATGCTGTAACAAGAGCAATTTTCAAAAGATTACTGGTGCCATTGGTCCAAGACGATGTGTAAAGTTCCCACAGAGATGTGAAGAAAAAAACCCAGCAGTATGTTCCTCATTCACAGAAATATCACTAAAAGTATGTTACCATGACAATATTAACCCATCCTACTGTCACAATGTTAATGAAACCACAAAGGGTTAAGCCAGCTGAACCCTCAGTATCCTTTGTATGCCCTGTGTTTGCTTGAAAGCTTTCACAGATTCAAATCCTGAGAATAACCAAGGGAGATAACACATAATCAGCAACCCACAGCACTCAAAAAAAAAAAAGGCATGCTTTTAGTTCTTCTATGTAAACACTGTCTTCCACCAAGAGTAAAATAGTGCAGATGCACAGAAACGATAAAATGTGAGTGTTGCTTATCTCCCTTTGGTACTGGTTTATAAAAGTTCGCCTCCAAACCACCAAGACTGACATTTCTTGTTAAAATGTCGCTTCAGGAACTTGGTCACAACAATGCACAACTGACACACCTACTGGCAAAAAACAACAAGCTTTAGACGGACACTTCGTACGAGGAGTCGTACAGGCTGCGGCTGTTCTCATTGCGCTGCTGTCGAGGGTTATCTCCCCTCTGTACCTGTTCTCTGTCCCTACTCTCAACAGCTTGACTCACTTCAAGAGCTCGAACAAAAGACAAAGGTCGATGGGGCCCACTACTGGCCTCTGACCGAATAGCACCCATTTGAGAGTTGCTCGGAGTCCTTGTGCCGGACATGCCCGGCTGAGGGTGATTGTTTGTAATATTAGGCGAGTGGCTTGACACGCCCCCTGTTGGATGATTACCTATAGTCCTCTGCTGATATGCTACATTATTATACTCCAAATAGGGACGATTATTTTGACTTGTGTTTGCCACCGATGGATAAAACTCACGCGGAGGTGAAATGGAATGACTGCGTGGATATTTATAAGTCTTGGGGCTGTTGGAAACAGCCTTATCCATGTATTTACGATAACCCAGAGGTATCCTCTCCAATCCTGGGCTGTTGATGCTTGTGGAAGGAGGAGTGATGGGTGTGTTTATACTAGTCTCTTCAATCGTCGCTATCGGAGCACGGCTACGCTCCGGCAAGCCCTGTGGCCGACCGCCCCCCTGTGGGTGGGCATCACGTGGATGGGGATCACGTGGGTGGGGATTACGAGGATGCTCAACACGAGGATATTGATGATTGATGTGGGGCTGATCACCGCGGGGATGTGGATCAACACGAGGATATGGCTCCACAACAGGAGGTGCATGTCTCGTCCTTTGTGGGGAGCGTTCGTAGAGATTTCGGTTCCGTTGCATCCTTGGTGATTCCCTCTTAACATGGTTGGGCTGACTGGCTTGGAAGGATGCCCCAACTGCTGTTGGTTGAGAGGTGTCGAACAGGTTCGTGTAGGATGCAGTCTTCTTTGAGGAGGGAGGTGAAGGCTCACAGTCCAAAGACTGGCTGCCCTTGTAGTCCTCATCTTCCCAGTTGGCAGGGTAACGCAACTACAAGAAACACAAAAATAATATCAATAGAAGCATTCATAATTGTGAACACTTACAAAACTATTTTAACTATCATAATTGCAAACAAATAATTGAGATCTCAATATCATTTGTATTTTGGATTATCAAAAATGTTACTTTGAGGTCCCAAATTTCAACTTCTCCAAAGAATAATTTTCAATAACTTAATTCATAGAACACTTAAGTCATACAGCATTGGAAATTGACCTTAATGTACTGACACAAGGCTTGTTAAGATTTCAAAAGAATACTTTAATTCCATCATGGTGAAACTTAGAATTATATTATATTAAACTCTTAAGAGACATTTTTTGAGTTTACAAAGATAACAATACTGAAAGATACTCTGTAGTATTCAACATTTTCATGAAACGGGTATATTTCAGCCAAATGTCAACCAAGATTCAGATTTTGAAAAAGACTTGTCTCTGAAAATTGTTACATTAAAGTCATATCCTCACCTAAAGGTGAATAGTATTTTTATTAGCAACACCTGTGGTACATCAAAATTCAAAGATAACAATTTATCAGCATATTGGAACATGCAAGTACTCATATAATACCATAGTGTCCATGATGGATTTGCAGAAACAATAAAGTTAAACATTGTAACAAGCATTCTAACAGGACATGGTTTCACTGTCTGAAATAATTTGAAAATATAGCACCAAATCCGTTCTTTAATTTCCTTTTATACTTCCACAAGAATCCAGGTCTAACTAGAATTCAATATGAGTTAAAGACAACGGGAAAATTTCCAATGCTGAACGAAAATTAAAATATGTAATATCCAAACAATGTATTTAGAATTCAAGAATTGAAATTTTTTGGAACCCTAATAAAGCATCATAACCTCTTGACAAGGAATTGATCTAATTAATTACTGGTTAAATTATGTCCTAAGTATTACAAAACGATAATCAATTGTTTCAAAGTAACAGAAAGCACTATCATCTGATGAATATTTTCTTTTTAGAAAGTTAAAAAATTTAAATATTTCCATAAAAAAATACTGACAACAACCATTCCTGACACTTTAACAGACTGAAAAAACATGCGAAGTATTGATCCACAAATATGATGTATGCGAGACGATAATAACATCATACACACATTACACAAGATCAAACACACATACTTAAAGAGCTTTCAGCACTCAAATACTAGAGATATAAAAGTACACAACACTACAAATAGAGGAATAATTTCCAATCTGAATATATTTTCAACACGAAATATATAAGACATTCCCACCAATCAAAACATGCAACAGTTTAGAAATGAAATTATCTTTCAGCTTACATGTTTCAAATCGAACAACATCTATCTATGCATGATATGGATATACAAACATACACGGATGATATCTGAGCTTAATTTGTTTCTCATGCTTGACGATTTTAGTCTGTGCAAAGACTTTGAGTGTACTAGCCCAAACCTGTGTCTTGATATCATTTTCTGTAGGTCTTAGTGTTAATGTACAAGACTTGTACCAGCAAAGCTGACCAGAACTTAAGAGATTTTACATGACTTGGGGTACAGACTAGTTGCTAAAGTCATGGACAGTGATTTATATAACATGTTAAACTTTCATATAATGCATTGAAAGAGAGTTGTGCTCTCCAATTTCCAGGCTGTGATATATTATTATATTTACAGCAAAGCTGACATGACTACCACCACCCGATCTCACATCATTTCATCACCCTCCCTCCTCTCCCTCCCAATGGTAAAATCAGATAAAACAAATAACTCCCCTTAAATTTCAAACTTCATGACATTTTCTTTAGAGTCCAACCTAAACATCCATGCGAATCACATCCATCAAAAATTAAGGTACACAGGTGCCTTGAAACATTGTCTTATCCCTTGCTTCATAAGACTTCACAATCTTGTTGAAAGTTTAATCATTTACTGTGTCCTTATTAGTTTAAATGTAGCTGTTTTCAGGGGTGGAAATAACCCATTGCCCGACGTCCGAGTCCAGTGTTTTTTTCTGTCCGGCAAGCAAATTTGTATATCACACTGTACCGGTGTCCAGTTGACTTTCCAATGTTATTTATGTTGTTTATTTAACAAAATCAGCAAGAAAACGGTCAGGTATACTGGAAAAAATATCAGGGCAAGTGACTTTACATGTGCCACTATACCGGAGTACACTATCATTTTTAAAGTTATTTCCACCCCTGTGTTTTGGATCACATTTTAATTGATATTCATGTACGCTAAGAATTCTGTATACAAGACCACTTACAAGGTTTAGTACAGGTTCAACAAGAGGCTTTCTCCCCATCTCCTCAAAAGGTCTAATGTAACGTTAATGTAATCACAATTTACAGAGTTACTACAAGATATGTCTGTTGAGACTCAGACTGCTGTCACTGACGAGGCAGTTATACATCAGTTACCCGAGAAGATATCAAGTACGTGTCACGAGACGACCTGAATAGAAAGTAGACGACAAGACACAGAGTACACCGAGGGTAACTCACTCATACACCTCACACGTCACCAGCCACCTCCAATCACTTAAAAAGATAAACACACTGTCATCGTAACTTACACTGGCTTTAAAACTGCTCATGTTCAGCTGACGCCTTTCATAATAAATGACAAGGCCAACTTGTGCCAGTGGGTTCTGGTACAGTCAAACATCTTTGTGTCAAACAAAGTAAAAGTTTGATCCCTAAGGATTCCCGCTTCAGTCTATTTTCCTGTTATGACAAATCTCAGACAACTCAAAGTGAATGAGTGAGTGAGTTTAGTTTTATGCCGCTTTTAGCAATATTCCAGCAACACCATGGCAGGGGACACCAGAAATAGGCTGCACATTGTACCCAAGTGGGGAATCATATCCGGGTCTTCGGCATGACGAACAAACGCTTTAACCACTATGCTACCCAGCCGCCTCCAAATAACTCAAAGTATCTACTGGTTCCTTCTACATCAACAGAACGGTTTTTACTTCCTTTCAACATCAACAGCTCAAACTATTTCCTTATTAGCCACGACAATAGTGTTTTGAAAAAGCTAAAATGTCACGACTGACCAAGGGAAATACCAGTGTATGAAATAAGCCAAAACCCCAGCAGACATCAGGGCTGGTAACTTCAAAATGTTACCAGTCCAAAATGGATTTAACCAGACCAGACACCAAGATATGACTCAGATGTAAATAACATCTAAATTTTTACAAGACCATCAGGCTGGCTAGCTGTAAATCTAGACACTTACACCTCATATTGCAAATGGAGTTGTACTGGGAATTTTGAAGGAGTACTGACATATTTATGTTTGAGCGAGTTGGTGATGTGGTTTGTTATTTATAATACTAAACAACTATTCAGCTATTCCACTTCATACATGTTAGACGTACAAAGGTATTTATGTGCGTACATAATACGCTTGAAATCTTATATGATGTCATACTTCATTGATTTTTAGGCGTACATTACACCTGTACGCCCCATATCTGTAGCCCCTATAACCCGTCTCGGGCGGTTGGACGTGCCTTATTTCATACACTGTCAATACCCACTGTATCATCTCTCCCATCCATCATGAAGAACACCCTGCACTGGGTATAAATACAGTTTATTCCCTGATTCCATTTGAATACAGTTTGTGTGTTTTGTCCAAGATCAACACTTTCACTGCTGGCCATGGAAAATGTGGACTGAGAATCATGGATCATGAATAACACAGAAAAATAATTCTTAAAACTCCTATACATTCACATATTGGCATTCAGCTTGTTGAAGGGTTAACCTCTTTGGTCATGAGGGCAAGACGTCCGACATGAGCCAGATGGTCCGTGGTTCGAATCCCAATAAGGGACTCGGTAATTTTATGGCAGCTTCAATAAGTATGATATCATTAACACCAATCAGAATGCCATTATGCTTCTTCATATGATTTATTTTCAACCAAGGGGAGGTAAGTCCTGTAAATCTATGACGACAAGTTGCAGAACAGCTGTCCATAAACCAAAGTGAAGTCTGTGACTACGGCATGTTTGGATCCCAGATGAGCAAATGTAACAATTGCTTTATCCAGGAAGCAGCTGTGACCACAGCAGAATAAATCCCATATCACGTGGCTGATAAGTATATTGTATGATGAAGAGGACAGGATAATTTACATCAGTAAGAGACTGACTGACTGAGTTTGGTTTTACGCCGCTTTTAGCAATATTCCAGCAACATCACGGCGGGGGACACCAGAAATGGGCTTCACTCATTGTACCCATGTGGGGATTCGAACCCGGGTCTTCGACGTGACGAGCCAACGCTTTAACCACTAGACTACCCCGCCGCCCCCATCAGTAAGAGAAGAGAATGTTCTAATAACTATGTTAATCTGCGGGTTCAATGCTAAACAACTAAAATGAGTACCTTTTCACATTTTCCATTCATATTTCTATTTATTTCACTTCACATTACAGCTGGGATGCAACCCTAGATTTGTGATTTATAGATTAGTGCAATCAATAATGATTTGTTTCATTCCATTTCATAAGCTCCATTACAGAAAGTAATCCTAGTGGCAAAATGGCCGTCACCCTCATATTACAACATGATTAGGTGCAACAGGATTCCATGTGAGTCATCGTTCTGTGATTCATTAAGCAGCAGCCAAACATTTCAAGGATTTCTGCCTTAACTATGATGACCATCAACACATGCAGGGCCCACCTGATGCTCGTCTCTAAATCACTACGGGAAAACCTATGCTTTTTCGTCATTTGAAGATTTTGACGACAGTATCACATAGTTGAGGATATGTTATACACTTGATGCTTCTGAACTTTATGGCATCTACAGTCTGTTTGAGTAAAAATGAACTGAACTGATTTAGAGTTAGATTGTGATTCATTGGTATCATTTTGATCCAAAAGACTATACAGTACCTTCAAAATAAGTCCTTTGTTAAAATTTAAAATCGAAATGTCCAGGAGTTGGTAAGAAATGAAGTCAAATTACAGAAGGACTGACTGACTGACTGACTGGATATGGTTTTACGCCGCTTTTAGCAATATTCCAGCAATATCACAGCGGGGGACACCAGAAATGGGCTTCACACATTGTACCCATGTGGGGAATTGAACCCGGGCCTTCGGCGTGACGAGCGAACGCTTTAACCACTAGGCCACCCAAATTACAGAAGGAAGGTAACATGATTGGACCAAGAACCTATCATCTTTCTCTCTAAGTAGATCAAGGGTGGCTCTGGTTTCAGTGGAGAACATTCTCAGATCCTCAGATGTTCAGAAGAATATCGGAAATAAAACTACTTTCAATAACAATGTTTCTGTTGTATTTCTACTCTGCAACAGTTGTGTCCAACCCGTCTCAAGTTTGAATGGGAGGCCAACTATATCAACAAATATCAAGTGTATTATATCTCTATTTTATGAAATGAATAGCTACCATCGCAACCAAAGCTCTGAACTGACACAATGTCCCCCCTCTTATCACTCACCAATGACAACCTTTCTCTCATAGTGTTGACAATGACAGTGCAGCTATTTCTACTATCCTGACATTCAAATCAAACTAAGGCACTTAAACCTTTGGGACCAGTATCCTAACAATATTGGAGAAATAATAAACTGGATGATTAATACTAACTGGAAGAGTTTCTACACAGTTGTGTGAATTGATGAATTGAAAATAAATCAGAAAACCTACCATTAGCCATTTAACAATCATTCAAATCAATAGATGGAATCCAATTGTTAAGATCCTTCTTAAAATATTAGTTGAATAATGCAAATGTCTACATTTCTTGTAATTGACAGAAAAGGTTATTACATAAACATTATTTATCAACTTGACAATTACCTTACACTTTTATGTATGATTGCTCAAACCATGTCAAACAAGATTTACTCCCTCTTGACAGTGAGGTGTGTTCAAAATTTGTCTACTTTTAGCAGCATTCCAGGCAAATCACAGGGGGACACCGGAAACAGGTTTCATGTATTGCAATCTAACTTAAAATCAGATCATTCACTCTGATGCGATTCCTGAAGACATCTGAGGATACTTCCATGAGAGATCGTGTTCTTATGCAAAAGTTAATGTTTCTATGTTCTATGAAAGAGTGAGCTAAGTATTCAGGACAGCATATTTAATTTCTGTATCTCCAAGAAAACCAAGAAGGCAACTAAAAAATGTACAAAAAAAGCCAGCATCCAAAATATATTCTGTCCCAAATTCAGAAGCTGAACCATTTCAGAAAGCCAACATTTAAATTATAATGATGTCTCTTTGAAATTGCTTCTGTCGAAGTTTTCAATGGAGGAGTCCTCAGATAACCTTACACTTTACTAACTTACAGATAAATATCATGTCAGAGACGATCCGATTTTCAGGTATCACACTGTCCAGGTTGGGAATTGAACACCTTCTGCATGACAAGCCACTGCTTTAACCACTAGGCTACCCTACAGCCCTCAAGTCAAGTCAAGTAAGTGTAGCAGATATATAAAGCAAGTACTACTACGTGGTTTCAATGCTAGGAAACAATACTTCAAACTGAAATATTTACCAAAGATGTCATTGAATCCTATTCCCAGACATGTCAAAGTAAGTGTGATAGTCATTTACAAAGTCGGACTTTGAAATGAAAAACACATGGACGAAATGTTTAACACTTATGAGACGCAATACTTACCTGTTGTTAATTACTTACGACAAAAGAAACAGTTACAAAGATTGTTAGTCTGCCATTATTAACATGACGTTCTGATAGTTCCAGAACATTACTAAATCCTTGAAACATTTTCGTTAAATATGATCAGATGAAGACATGGTTATCTTATGTAAGACTGATGAAATATCAAACATATTTTGCAAAATGGCTTTACAATGGCTTTGACCAATTCTTTAAACTTAATTCACCAAATCTATCTCCTTATTGCTCACCTTTGGGCACCAAAATTGACAGAATTGGAACCTAATATGAATAAGTATATAAATTGGCCATAATATCAATTTGGCAATCCTCTCTATCTCCAGAGCTAGTAGCTTGATAAACTACATCTACCCCTGGATCTTGCAGTCTCAAATTACCTGCCCTTGCCAATTTGCCAATTTGATTGGCTACACTACTAGGTCTTCCTAACCAATCAGAATGTGAGTTACAAACCAGCCTCAATGATTAGTTAGAAAAATCAACAACATGGTGGAAGGTTCCATTGACTATGACTTAGACTGCTTGAAATTCAATTTTGAAAAACTAACACACAAAGAGAGCTTTAGAAAAATCTTTTCCGGGGGTGGTTTTTATGTCCATTAAACTGGTCGTGGCTTTAGTTTCTAGGTGATACAAGTTACCTCCCTTAGTCTTCCTGTATTTATGTTATTGAAAAACAAGTGCAGGAAATTTTCAATTACAAGAACCACAGTAATGGATATCGGGTTTCGTGTGGTTGTATTCAAAAGCCCTATACATATGACGGATGCTGTACACCAAGTATCACGAAAAACAGGAACTTAATTATTTTAGAGTTTTGGCTTGGTTTCACATTCAATAATGATTGACAGACACTGGAAGATAACACATGCCTCTTGTTACAGACAAAACAGAAATTCAGATATCTTTCAATAGAAGAGGGAAATTAACAATTAAAAGAAATTAATAGATCGCTCTTATGACTTAGGTTTGGCAGAGAGAAAACTTTCTGGTAATATGCTGCCCAAATGCACCAATTATGATTATTATAAAAAAATACATAAATACAAAAAAAAGAAAAAAAAAGATTAATCATAAAGTTTTTAAAACAGTAATCAGATTCAGTGAAAGATAGTTTTTAGCCTATCAAACGACAACCCTGCAAACTTCTGATGTTCAAAGATACTCTCCCTCCTGCTATGACGTCTGCGACTACATCCGTGCATACTCCATCCCAACTACGACAGTGCAGCGGTGACGTAGACGATGTCAAAGTGGGATGCTGATACTGAAAGTGTGTACAACCTTATAGCCTACTCACACTGTTGTTGACTGAGCGCCCGTCTCGCTGGATTCCGTTAGAGCTGGCGTCGGAGTAGAGTTTAACATCTTTGTCCGCGGCCACGTAGGTAACCTTGGACGACTCGATCTGTATTGTCCGCGTCTTGGGAATGTAGGCAACTAATCTGTGTGGAGGAGCAGGAAGATAGTCTGTACAGATTGGGCTGGACAGTTAGGTCAGATTTCAAAGTGAGGCTGGACAGTTAGGTCGCATCTCAAAGTGAGGCTGGACAGTTAGGTCAGATTTCAAAGTGAGGCTGGACAGTTAGGTCACATCTCAAAGTGAGGCTGGACAGTTAGGTCAGATTTCAAAGTGAGGCTGGACAGTTAGGTCGCATCTCAAAATGAGGCTGGACAGTTAGGTCACATCTCAAAGTGAGTCTGGACAGTTAGGTCGCATCTGGACAGTTTGGTCGCATCTCAAAGTGAGGCTGGACAGTTAGGTCAGATTTCAAAGTGAGGCTGGACAGTTAGGTCACATCTCAAAGTGAGGCTGGACAGTTAGGTCACATCTCAAAGTGAGGCTGGACAGTTGGGTCGCATCTCAAAGTGAGGCTGGACAGTTAGGTCACATCTCAAAGTGAGGCTGGACAGTTTGGTCAGATCTCAAAGTGAGACTGGACAGTTTGGTCGCATCTGGACAGCTAGGTCAGATCTCAAAATGAGGCAGGACAGGTAAGACTACATTTAAAACTTTGGGTGGACGGCTCCCATTTCTAATTTGGTCTGGACAGTTAAATCACACTTCAAATAGTGGAGAGTTTTACCCCATCTCAAAGTATAGGTGGGGAGAGGGCTGGTCGGCTCTGAGTCAGTATCCATGTCAAACTGTGGCATGGTATCTGAGTGGGATAGCACCATGAACCAGCATCAGTCCACGCTAATAGTACCTACGCACAACATCACACACTCACATGCATGTATGTCGCTATATAATTTCAATAAATCATGAAAGTGAACTCCATCTCACCTTATTTTGTTTCATTGTTGTTTAACACCTCACTCAACATTATTCCAGCTATATGGCAGCGGTCTGTGAATAATCGAGTCTGGACCAGACGATCCAGTGGTCAACAGCATGACCATCGATCTATGCAATTGGGATACGATGACATGTGTCAACCAAGTCAGCGAGCCTGACCACCCAATCCCATTAGTCGCCTCTTATGACAAGCATGGGTTGCTGAGGACCAATTCTACCTCAGATCTTTAAAGATCTGTCCACCACAAGACAACTGGTCTGTAGCTGATGTGAGTCTAGTCATTCATCAGGAGGTAGTGGGCAAGTGTTAACCCTACTGTGGGCGACTACAGCTATATAACATACTCACTTAGGCCACTGCGGTCCACACAGAGCATAACTACAGTTGAGCCAGCAGCCTCGAGAAAAGGGGTTGTGCCCACCTTTAAACTTCCCTGTAACCTGAACATCACAACAGACAACCATTCATTAACAGGTGTAGGCATGACATTAACACCATAATTAACTATTCATTGACATGTCTCCTTCATTAGTTTGAACACATATTATTGGTACATTGTATAATATCCTTTGGTTACAGATTGAGTTTTCCACTTCATGGTGTAGAGATATGGCTACATATCAATATCAGTATCAATATCAATATCAATATCGTCGTTGTCGTCATCATTTTCCTGATCAGATTGACTGGTACAGGCCAGTGTCAAAATGCCACCCCCAAAATGAGACAATTCGAAATTATTTGAAATAACTGTCATCTTACGTAATACATTTTTTAACATTTTGAAGTCATAATTAACACATCTGGTTATAAATCAAAATCAGTAAACTTTCCACTAAAAAGGGAAAAGAATTTATGCTTAATTGTTTGTATTTGTGGTGATTTCAGTCAAGATTTTTAAGTTGCCCTGACACCATTCACAATCTTTAACACAGTATATGATAGGTGGAATAAGATTTAAACTAATACGATGATTCTGTCAAAGTTATCTCTGTCAGTGACGTAATGAACTTCTATCCCTCAATATTGGTTTGTTGTGTAACGTTGCCCTCAGCAATATTCCAGCTATATGGTGACGGTCTGTAAATAATCGAGTCATGACGAGACAATCCAGTGATCAACAGCATGAGCATCGTTCTACGCAATTGGCATACAATGAGTGAGTGAGCGAGTTTAGTTTTACGCCGCACTCAGCAATATTCTAGCTATGTGGCGGCTGTTTGTAAATAATCAAATCTGGAGCAGAAAATCCAGTGATCAACAGCATGAGCATCGATCTGCGCAAATGGGAACCGACGACATGTGTCAACCAAGTCAGCGAGCCTGACCACCCGATCCGGTTAGTCGCCTCTTACGACAAGCAAAGTCGCCTTTTGTGGCAAGCATGGGTTGCTGAAGACCTATTCTACCCCAGATCTTCACGGGTTGGCATACAATGACAGGTGTCAACCGTTAATGTATGGTCTATAATGAGCTTAGTTCACGTTACACAAAGAGTATTTACTCAACCAAATCTTTGACAAGTGTTAAGACGCAGGCCGGTGCTATATCTTATCATGAGATAACGAGCATATGTTTTCACCTGGAGACTAACCTGTTCATTGGTTGTCCTGCCCCTAGAAACCAGCACCATATGGAAGCCGGTCAGTCCTGCCACCGGGATGATCAGCAGACCAATTATACACATGACTATAATACTGGACTCAAGTTAAGGACAAGATATTCTGTTTACTGCCTCTATCAACAATATTAACCTTGTATCAACAATACTAACACATCATTAAAAGTACTGACTGTATGTAATGATGGAACAAAAACATTCCCCACCTTCATAACCTTGGTAACCATAAATATTCCAAACATTGATTTTCATGCTACTGGGTTGTCCGTCGTGAAATTAACGTAAAGAAATTTTTTTGTTTGTTGTTCAATGGAGCCCTCAGCAATATGCTAGCTATATGGAGTGGTTTTTAAATAATTGAGTCTGGACCAGACAATCCAATAATCAACAGCATGAGCATCCATCTAAGAATTTGGGGCAGGGATTGGGATATCTAGAGTACTTTGACAATGGGCCATTTCCAGGATTATTAGCCATTTTCTGAATTTAAAATGGGCCAAAACCCTTGTATCAATAGTAAACTTCAAAATTTTAATGGGCCATTTTTTATTCTAATGTGCAAAATGGCCCATGGCCCATGGCCCCTGCCTTTCCCAATCCCTGTTGGGGTATGATAACATGTGTCAACAAAGCCAGAAAGCCTGACCACACAATCCCATCAGTCGCCTGTTACGGCAAGCATGGGTTGCTGAAGACAAATTCTGACCTGGATCTTCACAGGTAAGACTGACTGAGTTTGGTTTTACGCCGCTTTTAGCATATTACAGCAACATCACGGTGGGGGACACCAGAAATGGGCTTCACACATTGCACCCATGTGGGGATTCGAACCCGGGTCTTCGGCGTGACGAGCCAACGCTTTAACCACTAGGCTACCCCACCGCCCCTCACAGGTAAGAAAATATGTAGAAAATTGAACTTGGGTCTCCTATAGACCAAAGACCGTCCTAATATTTTGAACACTGCAAAGCAAAGCCCACCCTCATGATCCTCATTAACATCAATGGTCAGCCCCCCGTCATCCCAATTCCTAACACAGGGGAAGAGCCCATGATCCATCCAACTACACCATGGCTTATTTCAGTCAAGAAGTCCATGTCAAACATATTTTAATAAATTTATATAATTACATATTAATTTCTTTTAACTAATAATGTTTTACGACAAATCTGCTAGTTCCTGAAGATTCGGTCATTTCAGTCAGACAACTGGCCATGTCTATTCCTGTCATGAAGAGCAGTATTTCAGGATGACTAACTTACCTGCATCCTCAAGTAGTTCTATTGTAAAAGCAAACATTTCTCCAAGTTCTTGTGAAAAGGATACGCACAAATACTGCCTGGCTCATACAGTTTATCTTTGTGATGTAGCATAAAGACGAGGCACTGGGAAAATATACTAACTTTATGTACGGAGAGTGAGCATAGAAACAGGAAGAAATATCTATAGTTGCGTCGACCTATGCAGTTGTTTAACCACGGGCAGTGGTGGTCAAACGTCTGAAAAGAGAACAAGTTAATGTTTCAGTACACGGAAAAAATCACAGGTCATAAAACACAATCAACAGGCAGCTCATCAAAAGTTTAGTATGGTAGTATATTTTTGTTGCTGCTTGACAAACGTGCTCCAACAATCAAGCTCCTTGTGTATATGAATAATAATTCCTAAACTTAGAATTAATAAACCGGTACTGGGTACGATGTTCCGCAAAGCGATCTTAGCTCTAAGGTAATCGTAACTTCCATACTGTAACATTGGGTTTACACAGCTGTAGCGCTACAATCACTTAGTAGAACTTAGCAGAACCCTGGAACTAAAAAGAGAGATGCAAGTTTAGGAAAAGAACAGGAACATAGTTCAATATGCCCTGATCACCATTGTAATGAAAGAATGACGCGATGAGTGAGTTGGGTTTTACACCACTTTTAGCAATATTCCAGCAACATCATGGCGGGGGACACCACAAATGGGCTTCCCACATTGTACCCATGTGGAGAATGGAACCCGGGTCTTCAGTGTGACGAGCAAACACCTTAACCACTATGCTACCTCACGGCCCCCTGAGACAGTGATGCTAATCAAGCTTTTTTCTCTAAAAAAAATCATCTTAAAAATTCTTATTTTCACAATCTGTTTTGTGAATTTTCTGCAAAAGCATTTGTTTCGATAACATAGGTTAAATTAAGAAATATCAAAGGTTGGTTCCTTTCACGCACACATGGTAAACTTTACTCACCTCTATACACGTGTTGCACACGCTACAATGTGAACACCGTGGAGGTCGGTAAAACTGGCACGTCGTGCACCATTTCATCCGCACTGTTATACCTTTTATTTCAACATTTTTATATAAGGGAGCTCTAAAGTCGTCGTCTTTGGCTTCATCTTCATGCGCTGTGGAGAGAAAGATGGTTTTAGTCCAAAAAGTACAGTTCGTAACAAAAACAATGACAAAGGGACCGTTCATAATTTATGGCTAGGGGGAGTGATGATGATTTTTATGGAGAAGCATGTACAATGTGAATGACCCCCTTAAAATTTATGTACAAAATAAGTGACCCCCTGCATGTCATGTACAAAATCAGTGACCCCCCTCCCCTTCCCATAATTTTAAACATATTTTTATGTACAAAATTGCTGACCCCCCAATGCGTGTGTACAAAATTGCTGAAACCCCCAGCTCCCCAGAACAAAATTGGTAACCCCCCTTAAAATCATCATCACTCCCCCTAGCCATTAATTATGAACGGTACACAGAAAAGCCTCACTAGAACCTGATTGGTAGAAGACAGTGCTATCTATAACTTCAAGGTAGGACTAGAACACTGACTAGCTCTTCTTGCAGTTTAGAGTAACACCTCTGTAGTCCAGTCCCATGAGACACATGAAGATCTGGTTTAGAATTGGTCTTCAGCAGTCATACTTGTTGTAGGGGCAGATTAACTGGATTGGGTGGTCCGACTCGCTGACTTGGTTGACACATATCGTATCCCAATTGTGCAGATTGATGCTCATGATGTTGATCACTGGATTGTCTGGTGAGGACGCTATTACTTTCGAGACCGTCAAATAGCTGGAACATTGCTGGTGGTAATATGTGGAAATAATGGTGGCCTGGACCAGACAATCCAGTGATTGACATCATGAAGATCACAACTGGAATACAGAGGTACAGATAAGCTGCATCTGCGTAAATTACTCAAATATTTATGTGAAAACTCAATTCCTATTAAGCCTATTGCGTACAAGTACGCTTGAATTTTTTAAAATACTCACTAAATATGATCTTACCCGCGTACACACAAATATGTCAACTCTTAGCTTGTGTACAGGTGGATAGATAAATAACTGCAGTATATTGAGAGGTTCTATTTCAGGTCATGAACTTGGCAACTTGCATATTACAGATCAAATATAAATAACAAACACTTTAAACTTAATTGTATTTTTAAAATTAATGGAAAATGGCAAAATACCTAATTGAGTGAGGTGAGGACAATATATTTGGTTACTCAAGGGAAAATTAGGATACCCAATTGAGATGAACACAAGTGAGTACATAACCCAACGGTCAAAAATGTTATCTGTAGCTTTGGGAATACATGTATAAACCAAGTCACTTAGCCACCACAAGATCCTCCTAGTCGCCTCTGTGGCTACAAAGGAGCTCCAGAAGATAAGCTGGTCATATCTAACAAATTGTTGCAACACCCAGCAATACCTCCTAAACATTCTAAACTATACTTTAACTTAACAAAAGTGATCTGGCCAAGAGGGCCGCGTTCATTTCAGTCCCTGATTCTAACCCTTTGCCATGGCATCCATTAACAAAAAGGTAAGTATATGTTTGTGGTTGTCATCTGCAATGACCACAGCATCTGTGCCAAAAATCTTCTGAAACTATCAAACAGCGTTCGGCTTGTAGTATCATTTCAAGGAGAGTATTGTACTCAGTGGATGTACATATAACCAGTGTAGGAAAGATAGCCCGTCCCAACGTCCGAGACGGGAGACTTTTGAGGAGGATGGGTTAAAAAAATATCTAGTCCGTCCTCATGTCGGGTCAATTTTAGCAAACCAATGACATATATATAATGATTATAACCTTTTTGAATATTTACTGCCGAAGGTGTTTTATTTATATTTGGAGGACAGGCTAGATTTTGGCAGGACTGGTAAAAAATTTGACCTGCCAGTCCTGTGGACAGGCTAGATTTTCTACATCTTTCCTACACTGATATAACCCCAGCTTACTGGACTGAACACAATTTAACTTCACTCAGAATATTCACCAGTGACAAAAGTAGCATGCTGCAATGATGTTTTAAAATGATATTGATTCACAATGCCCATGGACAGAAGAAAACAATATGACCACACTTCCACTGATTCTTATTCTCAAAAGTGTTTCTCAAGCTGCACTATCGGCATGAGTTTCAGTATATTCACACTTCTACCAATTGTTGATCTCAACAGTGTTTCTCATACAGCAATTTCTGTATATATTCACACTTCTACCAATTGTTGATCCCAACAGTGTTTCTCATACAGCAATTTCTGTATATATTCACACTTCTACCAATTGTTGATCTCAACAGTGTTTCTCATACAGCAATTTCTGTATATATTCACACTTCTACCAATTGTTGATCTCAACAGTGTTTCTCATACAGCAATTTCTGTATATATTCACACTTCTACCAATTGTTGATCTCAACAGTGTTTCTCATACAGCAATTTCTGTATATATTCACAGTTCTACCAATTGTTGATCTCAACAGTGTATCTCGTACAGCAATTTTTGTATGACTATGAGATACAGTAAATTCATGTTTCCATCGATTCTTGTTCTCAAAAGTCTCTCATGAAGCAATTTTTACACGATATACAGATTATTCAGTCTGAATGAAAAGAATCATACAGAACTCACCTTTTGGATATATCCCTGGATCCATGAAAGTTGCCAGGAAGAGATTTGCCAACACAAAGATTGTCAATATTCCCTGATACACTGGGATGGCTAGTGCGTAGGTACTGGTATTCATTAAATATCTGCATCTGCAAACAACAACAGTCCATACAGCATAACCATTCAGAAGATGTTGAATCATGAACGTAATATCCAAACATGCAACAATGTACACAGATAAAAGGTACGAGAATATAGCTACTGAACAAGTGAGTGAGTGAGTGTGAGTGAGTGAGTGAGTGAGTGACTGTAGTTTTACGTCACTTTTAGCAATACATTAGAAATGGCCTTCACGTGTTGTACCCATGTGGGGAATCGAACCCGGGTCTTCGGCGTGACGTGTGGATGCCATAACCATTTGTTAACCACTAGGCTACCCCAACGCCCTTTCTGAAGTGATTTGGACAGAAATAGAAACGACAACATCCAATTGATCTGGACTACTGAGACCACACCCACTAATTACCATACTTTAACTGGAGACGGAAACACCTTTGGCACTAGGCTACCCCACCGCCCTCTGAAGAGGAAAGGGTTGCTCAGTTGAGGTACTGCAAATCATTCTTCTGTTGAATCCCAAGGTATGCCAAGAAACCCATGATCGCATTTTTAAACATTGGTTGATCCTGACTATGTTTCTTGGTTGTACAACACTATAAGGCCAGACCAATTTTATTTCTTGTTTTATGGATTTTTGTCAGAAAACCAAAAGGCAGGAGGGAAAGAAATTAAAAAAAAATAATCACCAATCACAGTAATATTAAATACTAAAAGTATTTTACTTTTGGCAATTTATGAAGTGTATATGGGGCAAAAAACAATCTAAAAAAAGTTTCTTGTAAGTTTACATTTTTGGCCTAAAAAAACATTACCATTTTATTTTTTGAGCGGAGAAAATTCATTTTTATATTTTATATTATTCTTGAAAAAATACTAGACAGATCCGTAAAACAAGAAATAAAATTGGTCTGGGCTAACCATTTTTATAATAACCCAAATCACTTAGCTTCACTGCAAAAACTCGAGTGAGTGAGTATGGTTTAACGCAGCTTTTAGCAATATTCGGGCAATATCACAGAAGAAGACACCATAAATGGGCTTCACACATTGTACCCACATGGGGAATCGAACCCTGGTTTTGGGCGTGACAAGCGAAAGCTTTAACCACTATGCTACCTCACCACCCCAATCTAACATGAAGAGTTAAAGCAACCTCTATCACTCACAGGTTTTTTCCACTTTTTCAGTGCATTAATTAAACTCCACATCGACCCATCCTTAATTACCAGCACAGAGCAGCGGGTAAACAACAGCAATAGCATCATTTATGTATGTTAACTGTTCATGTATTTCCCTACACTACACAGACACGTTTCCTTAGTTTCGGTACCATGTGTACAGAGAGTACAATGTCCATCTCACACTGATCAGGATGATTGAGACTGCCATTTCTTCCTGGGGTTCTATCACTGCATAATTCCATTTAAAACATTACACTAATATTGTAATAAGGAGAAATCCTTTGAATTTTATTTTCTATTCTGAATATTTTTTTAAGACCATCCAAAGAAATTTGTTTGGTTCAAATGTCAAGAAGAAACCAGTTACAATGACCTCTCATTTATGCAGCTTGTCAATTTCCATAAATGTGTTAGGTATCTTTAAAACGTAGCCTTGTAAATATGTAGATTAAATGTGAAATATACTTAGCATAAACTGATTCAGTTAAGTTTTGTCAGTACATCAGCTGGAGTGAGTGAGTGAGTGAGTTTGGTTTTACACCGCTTTTAGCAATATTCCAGCAATATTGATCTGGTGTCACGGCGGGGGACACCAGAAATGGGCTTCACAAATTGTACCCATGTGGGGAATCGAACCCGGGTCTTAGGGCGTGACGAGCGAACGCTTTAACCACTAGGCTACCCCACCGCCCCACATCAGCTGGAATAACTTTTACCTTGTATCTAGTGAGATCATATTTTCCTAGCCCATAAAATTAGATTAAAATAAACTAAAAGTTAGGTCAAGATACATTTACACTAGAGGCTTCTAGATTCAAACATTTTGGGCACGAACCGTCTGCAACTTTAGTCAATGGTCCAAAAGTAAATGGTCCAAATAAAGTAAATTTCTGTTTGGTCTTGCAGGCGGAGACTAATAATTTTGTTATATAACTCTAAATCTTGCGAAAATGTCAAAAGCGATGTCCAGGTGAGCAACTTTTAAAGGCTTCAAAAGATTTTTGCAAAACAGTTGTAACTTTCAACAAGTGAGTGAGTGAGTATGGGTTTACACGCTTTAGCAATTTCCCAGCAATATTACATCAGGTGACATAGAGTGAGTTTAGGTTTACGCCGCACTCAGCAATATTCCAGCTATATGGTGGCGGTTTGTAAATAACCAGACAATCCAGTGATCAACAGCATGAGCATCGATCTATGCAAATGGGAACCAATGACGTGTCAACCAAGCCAGCGAGCTGGACCACCTGATCCCGTTAGTCGCCTCTTTTGACAAGCATGGGATACTGAAGATCAATATTCTAAGCTGGATCATCACGTGTGGTGGGGGGACACCAGAACCCACGTCGCACACTGTACCCATGTGAGAATCGAACCTGGGCCTTCATTGTGACATGCAGATGCTTCAACCATTAGTGTAGTGGTTAGAGCATCCGCCCGGAGAGAGGAAGGTCGCGGGTTCGATCCCCGACTGCGTCATACCAAAAGACCTTAAAATATGGTACTTGTTGGTCCCTGCCTGGCGCTCGGCATTAATAGGTACAACAAGGACTGGTCGGCTCGGAGTCAGTATAATGTGTCTGAGTGGGGTATTCACGCTTCACTGCAGCATGGTATCTCAGTGGGCTAGCACTATAAAATCAGCTTAAATCTGGGCTAGTACAAGCAGCCGCATATACACATACACACGCATGCACGTCATCATATGAGCAAAATATTCTCAAGCACGACATTAAACCCAATTTCACCTCACCTCACTGTCTCCTGTGTTTAACTTCCCTGTATCATGTAACTGATAATCATATCCTTATCCCTCAAGGAGCATTTAATATAAAGCCGACAACTATTTCCATAAAAACAATATCCTTCACATCAGAACAGCATTGAGCTTGTGTCCAATTGCAGGAAAGCAGAGCAAAGTATTTCCGGATTAAATTTGCAGGCCTCAGTGAGTCAAGATTATTAAGCATGTTAAGTGTCTTGATCATGATAACGTTCACAGAGTGATACAGCAACCACTTGCCCTGTTTCCAGTAGCAGAACTGCCTGATACACATTATCACTTTCACCTCTAAACTAAGTGCCTGTATAAGTTTGACAGTAACAAACAAAAATTGAAATCGAAAAGACTGACTGACTGAGTTTTAGTTTTTACGCCGCTTTTAGCAATATTCCAGCAATATCACGGCGGGGGACACCAGAAATGGGCTTCACACATTGTGCCCATGTGGGGAATCAAACCCGGTGCTTCGGCATGACGAGCCAACGCTTTAACGACTAGGCTACCCCACCGTCCGAAATTAAAAAGAAGCCCCAGTGAGTTGAAAGATCCAGAAACCTGAGAACACCTGGGGAAACCTAGACTTGCTTCATTTAGGGCTTTAGCATTGTAGGTGGTATAAAAAATAATGTGGTTCAGGGACTGTGCGACAGACTATTTCACCTCAAGCATGTGATGATTGCTGATAAAACTACAATGAAATCATTTCAAGAATTTCAGCATGTTAAAGGAAACATGGTAAACGATGCTATGTCTTCACATTATTAACTTGTTCATGAAATGATGTTGTTTTAAAACTGTGCTATATTGTTTGTCATTTCTGAGTAGCATACAACCTGAACGCAGAAATATTGTGAAAGTGAAGGAATGAGCATGGTTTTACGTGATTTTCAGCAATATGACAATAATATATCGACAAATGACAGCAACATTGGAAATAACAGTAGACGTCGGGCTTTCTCACATTGTACCCATGACTTTCCAGGAATCAAACAGCCAGTATGGGTCCTCGGCATGATTTAACATGTGAACACTTTAACCACTAGGCTACCCAACCACCCTGTATGATAAAGGAGCATGTGTATGCAGTGTTGACTTAGATGTGTAAACATCGAAATTTCCAAATTATTGTGGTTAAGAAATGAAGCCAAAGGACTTTAGAAAGATGATATCTGATTGGTTCTGGACCCAATTCATTCTTCATTTATACTGGGAGGCCAAAGTTTGCTCAGGGTTCACTGGCACTAATTTTTATGTAGGCGTTTTAGATGGAATTCATGTGAGATGAGTGATACAGCATTGAAATAAAATATTTAATCGATGATGATGATGATGATGACCACCGATGATGATTTGGAAGATTTTATGTGTCTTCAATGGTCTTTCTTTCGACATGATGCATATTTTGCTCTCGGGGGCTTCCCTGGCCATTTAGCATATTTTATTGAATGAGGGGTGATTTTGGCCGAAAAAAGGCAACCAGAAGGGGTGTTAGGGTTGCAAATTTTTATTTTGAATTTTGAAAATATCTGAATGTAAATGAGTTTAACAATCAGTCCCTAAGAAGATGTACCAAACTGAATCCAAAGGGAATTAGGCAGGAGTTTTTGAAGTGATGTGGGGCGGATGGGTAGTTTAACGGTTAAAGTGTCCGCTGAAGACCCGGGTTCGATTCCCCACATTGGTAAAATGTGTGAAGCCCATTTCTCTGGTGTCCCCCACCGTGATATTGATAGAATATTGCTAAAATCGGTACAAAATCACACTTGCTCAGTCTGAAGTGATGTGGGCAGAAACATAAAGGACAGCATCAAATTGATGCACTAATGAGGCCCCACCCACTAATTACCATACATTAACAGGAGTTGGGAACACACTAGGCTACCCAACCACCCTGTATGATAAAGGAGCATGTGTATGCAGTGTTGACTTAGATGTGTAAACATCGAAATTTCCAAATTATTGTGGTTAAGAAATGAAGCCAAAGGACTTTAGAAAGATGATATCTGATTGGTTCTGGACCCAATTCATTCTTCATTTATACTGGGAGGCCAAAGTTTGCTCAGGGTTCACTGGCACTAATTTTTATGTAGGCGTTTTTAGATGTTCATGTAGATAGATACAGCATTGAAATAAAATATTTAATGATGATGATGATGATGATGATGATGATTTGGAGATTTTATGTGTGCTTTCCGACATGATGCATATTTTGCTCTCGGGGGCTTCCCTGGCCATTTAGCAATTTATTGAAAGAGGGGTGATTTTGACCGAAAAAAAGGCAACCAGAAGGGGGTGTTAGGGTTGCAAATTTAATTTTGAATTTGGAAAATATCTGAATGTAAAGAGTTTAACAATCAGTCCCTAAGAAGATGTACCAAACTGAATCCCAAGGGAAATAGGCAGGAGTTTTTGAAGTGATGTGGGGCGGATGGGTAGTTTAATGGTTAAAGTGTCCGCTGAAGACCCGGGTTCGATTCCCCACATGGGTAAAATGTGTGAAGCCCATTTCTGGTGTCCGCCACCGTGATATTGATGGAATATTGCTAAAATCTGTATAAAATCATACTTGCTCAGTCTGAAAGGACAGCATCAAATTGATCTGCACTAATGAAGCCCCACCCACTAATTACCATACATTAACAGGAGTTGGGAACACCTTCCCATGAGTGATGACGGATTGCATCATACACACTATGATAATTACTGTCAATGACATCATACGTTCAGGAACTGTCAAAGACTAATTGATCATTTCACCTTAAACATGGATGCAATGCTAAATAGAGTGAGATATGACTGTCTGAGACTAATGAATAGATACCGGGATCGGTTGTTCTCTTATAAAATGAAAAATTTGCAATAATGTCCTAAATGTTATTTTACATGCCAGGTAACCCATTGGCCCAAAACTACTTTGAGTGGCATTTTAGAAGTTGGGAAGTACAATATTGACAAACTTTATGGATAAAGACTCCTTTTATTTAGTGACTGTGACGTTACAATACAGATTTTTGTTCCACTGTCAAGCAGGAATGTAACATGAATTCAAGCAGATGCATATATACTGACTGACTGAGTAAGGTTTTACGCCGCTTTCAGCAATATTCCAGCAACATTGTGGCAGGGGAAACCAGAAATTGGCTTCACACATTGTACTCACGTGGAGAATCGAACCCAGGCCTTCAGTGTGATGAGTGAACACTTTAACCACTAGGCTACCCCACCGCCCCGTATGTATACTGAATGTACATTCCGGCTTGAAAATGGTACAAGAAGCTCTCTCGAAATGTCGCACTTTCACAAAATGAAAGGTGTTGTTATCCATAAAGTCTGTCAACATCGCCCAAAATTACCTGCAGACAAGTCTTATATGAGTGAGTAAATATTGCTTTCATATATGAGCAAAGTTGTCATTTGAACAGTACAAACTGGAACATATGGACCCCTAAGTCCTCCAAAAGGGTCTTGAGACTGTACATGTGACAAAACTACGGGTAACTAGACTGAGTTTGGTTTTACGCCGCTTTTAGCAATATTCCAGCAACATCACGGCATGGGACACCAGAAATGGGCTTCACACATTGCACCCATGTGGGGATTCGAACCCGGGTCTTCGGCGTGATGAGCCAACGCTGTAACCACTAGGCTACCCCACCGCCCCACAGGTAACTAGATACAATGTAGACAAGAAATAGACAAGACTAAATACCAGGATAAAATGTTATTTAACTTAAAGACAACTTCTAAATAGCATCTTTACACTTCCTACACATTTTATTCCTGCTATCTCTTACTTAAACGAGTATGAAATTGACCTGTACAACGCCATAGGAGCAGGCCCAGAAGGAACATGGTAGCCAACCAAGATTAAAATTTTAGCCTTTTCGTTTCATAACATGTTTAACACCACAGTGATATTCCAAGTATATGACCGTGGCCTGTAAACAATCCAGTACAATCTAGTGATTGATATTATGAGGGTATTCCATGCTGACAGGGAACCACACGCAACCAACCAATTCTCTCAGTCTGACTACCAACGTACATCCAGTATTTACTGATGTTGAGCAATTCTGACCCGGCATCCTACCAAGGACAGATCCTGATTGTGTAATCTCAAGATGAGATAATAACAATATTTATTTCCTTTGTTTCTCATCAAAACATATGACATGACTTTGGATAGAGTCGATAACCCACACCAGAGTAAACCGGAGAACTAGAATCGATGGTATGTTCTCATAAAATAGTTAGCTCCTCAAGCAAAACATACAGCCCCAATCTGCATGCATGATCCATCGTCTTCATCTTGTACAGTTCAATAATGTCATGGATATGAAATCAGTGCATGTGAGCAAATCAATATACACATTCCACATGTTCAATAAATCCATCATAGACTCCAGTATCAGGCTCAATCACCTATGGCAGAATCACCCAGTCGTAACAGAGTGCTTGTTGTAGCATGAAAATTTGCATTTAATGCAAATTGTGTTGATATATCCATCTTGGCATGCTGAATTATGAAAAAAATCACACCTCAGGTCAAGATATAACATTTACGTCTCTAATTATTAATGGGTAAGGAGGGTTATAGTCAAAATTGGGTTCGGATTTTGGAACTCTGGATTGTAATGCCTCACCGAAACTGTCATATTTTTAACATAATCATATAACAACTTGTTCTAACCTAAATCAGTCTATCAAATTACTGTGAAGTACAAATATTTTACTGACATATCTAGACTGTTCTCAAACTGATCACAGGAAATGATTACAGTTTTCGTTATACCTGCTCCGCATGTCGAAACCGGAGAACTAATTAACACAACGCACTTGCGTAATTTTCATTTCAACATGTGCATGTATCTTGATAGATACTTCAATTATTCAAGAGTAAATACATATCAACAAATGTAATGTTGAGTGTAGTTTGAAAGCCGGGTTCACGCAGTTCGGCAGGTAACTGGTTCATTACTCACACAAATACGAAGTACACGGATGTGCATCCTAGGATTAAGCTCCATGCACATGTTGCAGGAATTATCCTTGTTGAGAATTCACATCGAGGCATGGCTGGTTAGAAAGAGGTGACTGTTATGGGGAAATATTTTATCCACTTCACATCTTACAAAGATGGCATATCGCCTCCATTCCGACCGAACGACTCCACTAATGTATACATTTATTCCGCCAAGAATGGTGTTCGAAATAGTTCATCAAAATGCACACATGTTCAAGTTGATTGTTGATCTAGTCATGCATAGACTGGATACGCTATATTTACGTTGTGTGTTGATATTTCAGATGTATTAAGTTGACAATACAGTGAAAAACATTGGTCCATTAATCATAAGCGCACGAATACTCTGAAACAAGTGCCCCGAGGAAAGGTCGTCGATACTATTTGCCTAAGGACAGTCGATACACTACTAACAACCGTCTGTTGGATCACGAGCAAGCCTCGTGTTCACATTTATTTGCTCGAAGTATAACTTGACATCATATATTAGCGTGTACCAGATGGTACACATCTGAAACGAAGTGAGAAGAAAATATACTGTCAACTGCTAAGAGCAAGAGAAACAATACATGGATAAATACAGAGAAAAAGTGAAGTTCTTAGTAACAAGCCAATTAGAATAGTGGGGCCGCATGGAATTTTTTAGAGATTGAGGAAGTCTGCTTTTTCTAACACAACAAAGATTTAACGAGTAAAACGAACACACTTTAACCATAATTCCTTGCGCAGAATTTCACACCTGCTCCGATGATTATGCAAATTATACATTGTCAGTCTTCAGCCTTTACATATATATAGTATGACCAGACATTATTGAGAATTTTAGGAATATGTTTAATTGGATTTCTAGTATAAACATCCTTGACCAGCTATCAAGTGCTTGGTTTCATTCAAGAGAGACAACTCCGCTAATCCTTTTTCATTAGTTTGTGAAGAGTTATCCCCCTTTGTTTACTTGCAAGCAGACGACATTTTCAGTGATCCTCAGTATGGATGATTTAGAGAGGAGGAAGTTGATTTTAGAGAATTATATAAAGGACATCAGATCAGCTAAAGTGATTTCAAGTAGAACAGGCAACCTTTGGTCCACTGTTTATCGTGTTTTGAAAAATATTGCAAATGGATATGGCATTGAGTACCAGGGAGGCCTCAGGTAGGCCCAGAAAATTGACTGTCGGTGACAGGAGGCGGCTTGGTATTCTTGTTTCTAAAAACAAATGAAGGAGTTTAGAAAACTTAAGGCTGGATATGATTGATAGAGGAACTGTGGTTGTCTGTAAGGAGACAATTAGAACTGAGCTGCATGCAATGGGTTGGCAGAAAAGTCGAGGAATTCCATCACCGATCATGAAACCTGAACAAAAGGAGCGAAGGTTGAACTGGTGCTCACAGCATAGAAATTTTAACTGGGACAATGTGATTTTCTCAGATGAAAGTTCTGTGTGGCTGTTTCCTAATACACTGAAATTCTGGACCAAACAAACTGAAAAACCTTTGTATCAGCGCCCAAAGTACAGTCCGAAATTGAACGTGTGGGGTGGCATATCTGTGTTAGGGGCAACGCCCCTCTGTGTATTTGAAGGGAATATGAACAGTGAGCGGTACACAGATATTTTCGAGGGACATTTTCTTCCATCTGCTCACGTGTTCTATGGAAATATTTGGATTTTCCAGCAGGATAACGACCCAAAACATCGTTCAAAGCATTCACAGGCCTGGTTTCGGACCGAAAATATGACATTATTAGATTGGCCAAGCTATAGCCCTGACCAAAATCCAATAGAAGATGTTTGGGGACTTATGAAGGAAAGTGTCAATAAGAAAAATCTGACAAATATTGGTGAAATGAAAGAAGAGGTGGTCCGATATTGGGACATCATGGACCACGACTTTCTAACTTCTTTGATCAGTAGTATGCCCCGCCGCATTGAAGCCTGCATTGCTGCCCATGGTGACTTGACAAAATACTAACTGTTCACCTGTCTTTGAATCTGGAGTTATGTTCTGCTAATATTCACATTTAATACGTGAGTAATGAGTGAAAACAATTAAAAAAAAATACAATCTTTACATTCTCAATAATTTCTGGTTGTACTGTATTACCTCCCTTCAATAGCAGAGGAAGCTATAGGCATTTACGTAAACTACTTGAACACGTGTGCAGACACTCGTGTTTTATATGAATAATTTAAGCTACAGACACCACACCGGCAAATGTTAAAGCTGTTGAATATTTATACCCTCTAATTGCTGTTGATATTTGTGTCAGACAGTCTATCCGACTGAGAGGGCCAATCCCCTACTGGGATCGCCAATTGCCAAGTATTGCGAAAGGGACAGGTGGGATACTGGGAAGTGTTTTTCAAGAACGCAGATGCCAATATTTAAAAGTCGAAAAACATTTTTGGTATTTTTTCCCCTGCGTGACAAATCATTGATATATTTAGCATAAGGGTGTTAGCACAAATGGTTCTGAAATGAACATATTTTTATAGATATAAACGATTTCTAATTTATGTTAATAAAATATGATGAAAAGGCGCCCAAAGACTTTCTTCGTTTTCAGACTGTGGTAATATAGACTTGCTACACACCTTAGACTTCCATGGGCTGCACTGGTTATATTGGTTTCAGGTTCTGTAGGACCGACTATCAGACTCCCAAACACTGGAGATCATAAAAGAAAAGGAGACCAAACCAAGTCTAGACCGACTAGGCTAGTCCAGATAGCATCTCCCTGCAATTAAGAATTGTCTGGGCTTCTTCTGAAAATTATTTATTCCTTTTGTATATATATGTTTTAATAAGATTATGTTATTTCTGGCCTAACTGCTGGTCTAGTTTTCCAGCTGTGAACTTTGGTATGACATATGAGTTATGTAGTTTTGAAGACCCGCGAAGATCCGGGTTAGAATTGATCTTCAGTAACTCATGCCTGTCGTAAGAGGCGAATAACAGGATCGGCTGGTCAGGCTCGCTGACATGGTTGACACATGTCATCGTATCCAAATTGTGTAGATCGATGCTCATGCTGTTGATCACTGGATTAATGTCTGGTCCAGACTCAATTACTTACAGACTGCCGCCATATAGCTGGAATATTGCTGAGTGCGGCGTAAAACTAGACCCACTTACTTAGCAATATCCCAGCTATATGGCGGCGGTCTGTAAATAATCGAGTCTGGACCAGACAATCCAGTGATCAACAGCATGGACATCGATCTACGCAACTGGGATACGGTGACATATGTCCAGATGAATCAAATCTCGATTCGCATAGGTCCTGAATCGCTGAAGTCAATGGGGCTGATTTTCAATTTAAATGGAATAATTTGTTTGCATCAGAATTATATACATTCAAAAACTAAGCGTTAGCCTAACATTATCACACTGGCAGTGGAGTAGCCTAGTGGTTTAAGTGTTTGCTCGTCACGCCGAAGACCCGGGTTCGATTCTTCACATGTGTACAATATGTGAAACCAATTTCTGTGTTTCTCTGCCGTGACATTGCTGGAATATTGCTGAGTGCGGGGTAAAACTAAACTCACTCACCTAATCAGTGCTCCGATATTGCTGACAATGGCGTCAAACAACATTTTATCACGTTTCAGCACTACAGTACAATATATTTAGAAAGCATTGACATACCCTTATTATTGCACTATAACATATCACCTTATGTCGACCAAAGCTTGTCTATAATACTATATGCACCATGCAGATCGTGTTCTAAATCAAGACTGAAAACCTGAAATTTTAATTTCACGTCCAAGGTCCACTGTATACGCCTATGCTACCCGAAACGTGTCGTCACACAAATACAACCATAATCTCTTACATAAAGCTGCAAACATAGGTTTCATGTCTGATAAAAGGCCACATTTGGATATCAACATTTGTTCTGTGCATATGATCTGAATGTACAGGAAGGTCCGGGTTAGAGTGAACCTTCAGTAACCCATGCTTGTCGTATGAGGCGACTATCGGGATCGGGTGGTCAGGCTCGCTGACTTGTTTGACACATGTCATCGGTTCCCAACTGTGTAGATCGATGCTGATGCCGTTGATCACTGGATTGTCTGGTCCAGACTCCATTATTTACAGACCGCCGCCATATAGCTGGAATATTAGTGCGGCCTAAACTAACCTCATTCATTTTAACGTCTACGCTTATTACGAACTAGCGGATATAACGAATCTGTTTCAAATCGCCAGTGGTTGCGGTCAACAATAGTTTTGTAAAATAAAAAAAATGGTTTAAAATCTATTCATACCTTTATTTTAAAAAGTATAAGGAAATTTAATGGGCAAAGAAGCGCTAACAAACTTTTCGTAAATGTTCAGTTTCAACTATATACAATATACCGAATTCAAAGACGACTAAATTAATTATATTCTTAATGAATTAATTTGATAATTAAAAATAACTTTGTATATGTGTGAATGGTTTATCTTGTTTCGTAAAAAATATACCTGTATCCCATTAGATTGCTGCATATCTTCTTGACTGAGCGGTTCCCTGGCTGCTTATTCCTGACTGTAACAGGGATTCAGAATAAAATTTAAATTAAAAAAAATAAAAAATGTTATTCCAGAATTTTCCCCCTAAGTGGACGCTCACCTCTCCCCCAGAATTTTCACCCAGTAACGTTAATTCGGCGATTTTATTTGTTTCAATATTTAAAATTTTGTTTTGCACCGATGCTAAATTCGTAATAGAAAGTGATTTCAATAAAGTAGATTTTTAAAATATTTATTTGGATTTTCTTTATCGGCGGTATTTAAAAAATGGCAAAATTGAATTTTATTTCCACTTTAGCAAAAATTACAGTCGGCGGATCCGTGAACCAAGTAATAGTGAGTGAGTGAGTTAATATTTAACGTCACATCGGCAATATTTCAGCCATATCGTGACGAGAACCAAGTAATAAAAAACCCGTGGCCTAGAAAGCAGATTCACATGTCATCATGATGCACCCATTGTCTGCAACAAGTATTACTGCTGTGTGAACTCACGACATAACAAGACAAACTGATGGTGAGTTGATGAAAGGTTTCGCACATTCCTCCAAAATTCAAAAACGTGTATGGTAGATACAATTCGGAAAGGCACGCCCACGACTGCTCAAACAAGGAATGTTTTAAAAAAAATAATCTGATTAAACTGAGTTATTAGCGAGAAAACTCGGTATTACCGTTGTTAATGATAAGATAACAAACATTACATGCATTTTTATCACTTTGATTGCGATTCAACATATTTTCTTGACAATCCTGTTTGTCAACAGACAACCGTTGGCAATTATATACAGTTGTTGTGATACTACTACCAACCGGAATCACTTCCGGGTTACGACACTCGGATATTCTCGGAGATATACGTTACTGTTCGTTGATATAATACTCTGAAATTAGCAAGAGGATACGAGTCAGTTCCGATTGTGAATCCGTGAATTGCGACTTCCGGATCGGGACAGTGTGTTTGGCATAGATAATAACACTCAGTCCTGCCATGAGAAGGTCGTTGAAAAGTCCGGGTTAGTTGTCACGCGTGTTTGAGGTGTTCTCCTGTAGTAACTTGGATTGTGATATTCGTTGACCATGGGGAATAGTCAAGCTTCCTCTCCTGATGAACATGAAGGCCATTCTACTGCTCCATCGAGAAGCACAAGACGGGCATCATCTAAGGCTCATAATGCTTCTCTTGTCAAACTTTTTGAGGTGAGTGTTTTTGTGTGATTTTACTTTATATTTGGACATGACACATGTCTTAGGTTTGTATCAGCAGTGAATGTTTCACAACTATGGTCCGTAAGATGGGATTATCTGACGATGAGGACGGTGAACGATGAAGTCCGATGACAGTTCTGATGATGATGATGATGATGGGTAGTGGTGATGATGATGATGATGGGTAGTGGTGATGATGATGATGATGGGTAGTGGTGATCAATGAACTGTGTTATATGTGTGTTACAAACCAGCATTGGAATTACGAATGACATATTCCGTTGTCCAGTGATTGGATTATCTAATGATGGTGAAAGTGTAATTTCAGGGATTGTGGTGATGATGATTATGATGATGTGACTGTGACAATTGTGATGTTGATAAGTCACGGATGATGATAATTAATCCTGATTTTTCTATTATGGCACTATATGAATGCATGTTATATGAGGACAGGCCTGGGCTCCAAATCAGTTGGTTTTCCCTTACTACCACACTGTGTAGAGTCATTCATAACTCTCATTGCTTGCTGACTCAAATGTCTCAATGTCTGTTGACAGACATCATGATTATCTCTCCAAACTAACTCAGACTGTCAGAGGCCAACATTCCGCCAGAAACCTGTGTCAAATGTCAGTATGCAAATTCAAAATGCAAATTAGAAATTTCACAATTCATGCTGTTACATTTATAATGAAACCAAGGTGACTGCTTGTTCATGGTGATATGCATGTTGTATAATAAGAAATTTGAATATAATCAATTTAAATAAATAAGAAAAATCCCGGTCAAGACAATCCCGGTTAACAAACAGTGCTGCAATTTCCATGACTTCATCATGTCCATGGTTTCATAAACATGATAAGTCAGAAGCCTTTTCTCTCCTAACGAAGTCCAGGGATTAGCTTTGCTTGTTTGTTTTGTTGGGGAAACTGGTAAAGTGAGGTATTCAGAGTGTGGCACCACAATGTCCAACATCAATATCTACATTACCCTTCAAAGGCTTTGCAGATTAGTGATGGTATTAGCCTGATAAGGATTCCTGTACTGTGATATAGTGGTGGTCCGATTAATTGAAATAATCGAAGATTGGTCGCAGTGACTAAACGACCAAGCAATCGATCATGTTTTCTCATAATCGAACACAAACAATTCTGGAACACTTGTTTTCATGAACAATATTTTTCACAAGGTTGGTTTTGTCTGTTACATTTCATAAGCATTACAAGCTCGTTTCAAGTCATGATTGAATTTATCTTAAAGACTCCAAGAAATTTATGTTCCTGACATACTAGTCATCCATTAAAGATGTGAAATTTTGCCAAAAACCCAAAAGAACTACATGTTTTTTCCTTATTTTTTATGTGCATTAACAAATTTCATTAATGACGCTAACCAATTTTTTTCGATGATTGATCGGTTGTAATGAACCAATCATCAATTATGAGATTTTAACCAATTCCCAAGACTACTGTGATATGTACCTCAGTACTTAGATCGACCCTTATATAATGCTTACCCTACACACTATTGACAACTTTGTCTCATCAGATGTTGCCATGGTTACAATTTTTTTATTCAGGACATGCAGTTGGTTACAATGAGTGGAGCCCATATCTGGTGTCCCTGGCCATGATACTGTTGGAATATTCCTAAAGCGGGAAAAAAACCCAAAACAATCTCACTCACAACAAATAGTTCCATACTTTCAATGTTTCCTAGTTTCATTTCAACTTGCCTCAGACATAGGCTATGCCAACAACATGCAAATGTGCAGGATTTTGTAAAAAACACTATATACAAGTTTCACATTGTACATTAAATCAAATTTACTTTATTGATTTTGTACAATGCTTGTAAAGAAATGAAAAAAATTAAATGAAACCCTCCCTACCCAATCAGTTTTGAAAAAAAGTCATGAGGAAAGATGTTTATTTTTTAACTGGTTTCAGCTAACATTGAACATGTCAGCCCAGTCATCAAGGCTAGTCATATCCTAGAAGATTTTATCCTGCTAGATATACAATAATACTAGTCATGGACTGGCAGTAATTTTCCGTCCACAAGAGTTTTGGGACTGTAAATAATAAGTATGTCTGCTGAATAATCCAAGATAATCATGATAAGTGCCTGTGTACTTACTGAGTAGACAAAGAGGGGCACTTGTTAAAACCATAAACAAGTGAAAATATTTTTCAGAGATTAAGGGGTAGAGCATAAACCTTGTTCAAACGATAAAACTAAACTTTTTTGTAACAGTTACTTGGCAATTATCTACGTCTTATACACTGTTGTGTTTTTGTGAAAGGGGCGGTGGGGTAGCCTGGTGGTTAAAGCGTTGGCTCGTCACGCCGAAGACCCGGGTTCGATTCCCCACATGGGCACAATGTGTTAAGCCCATTTCTGGTGTCCCCCGCTGTGATATTGCTGGAATATTGCTAAAAGCGACGTAAAACTAAACTCAGTCAGTCAGTCAGTTTTTGTGAAAGTCTGTAACATACTCATGGAAATGGATATGACCATGTGAACTTTCAGTCTTAGTAGGCCTCGTTTAAAAAGATTGTTTACAGATTCGTCTTGATGTTTTCCTGAAGTTAAGGGAGGGGTGCTTATTTGACCTTGGTGCTTAATACATTGAATACGGAAACCATGCTTAGATCAGTCAAGTTTGAAAATGGATTGAGATGAAAGTTTATTTAAGTTCTCTATGTTCTAAATAAATATTATTTAACAAATACACCACATTTATCTTGAGAAATTGGGGCAGTTGTGTAGCCTAGCGGTTAAAGCATTTGCTTGGCACGTCGAAGACCCAGGTTCAATTCCCTGCACAGGCACAATGTGTGAAGCCCATTTTCAGTGTCCCCCATTGTTTGTATGGTGCTAAAAGAGGCTTAAAATTACTAAATGCACTCACTTACTCTTGAGAAATAGAAAGGGATTTGCTCACTGAAGTCTTGGAGGTGGGGAAGGGCAGTCTTAATGTAGGGTATTTTGACATATATTATATTTGAGATTACACTTTCTTAATAAAGTACAAATTCTAATACTTTTGTTGTTGGGTTGAGTCCCATCCGGGATTCAAACCCACACCCTCAGAGTCAGGCACCTAATTGCCAGACACCACCTATAAATGACATTGTGTAATCATAGGGTGTTTTAAATGTCAATATGGTAATCATTCTGGGATGAATCTTACACCATAATAAAGGGACAGTCAAATCTGGATATAGATCAAGATAAACTTTATTTGAATTCTGAATGTTCAAAATGATTTGTTTAAAGAAATACCTCACTGCTATCTTAAGAAACTGACGCTGGGATTTAACCACAAATCCTGTCCTGCTTATCTCACAGTATGTATATATAAATGAATGATTGCTAAATATTTCAGTGTGTTTATGTCATTGTGCCCCCAGCTGTGAGGGTTCTAGGGGGGGGCACTTGATCCCCCAGCATGTGTTGATATAGACACACACAGCAGTTAACCTGCACTCACTTTCAGGAAGTAATCAATTTCAAACCTTTCAATCAACTGGTAGTCAGCTGACTGGTTCTTAATGATCTACACTCAGGTGTTGTACAGCTCTTACACAGACCATCGATATAGATTATAGAGAGCAATAATCGCTAACTAAATATTGTCCGATTAACGATAAGTAATAAAGACGTAACTTTATGCAAAAATACCAAATAAATCTCAAAGAAATAAATATATTTTACATCAGTGATGAGTAGTGTGATCATCGATGGATTACTAACAAAATAGCCTAACGCTTAGTCTCTGAATATATATAAGTTTGGTAGTAACAAGCAAACCCATTTAAATTGAACAGGAGCCCCAGGGAGACTAGAGATTCAGAGCCTGAACCTGAGGAAATCTAGACTTGCTTCATTTAGGGCCTTAGCACTGCAAAGAGGGCTAGGCAGTAGGGAAAATGGCCGAGAAAATAATGTGGTTCATGGACTGTGAGACAGACTACTAACAAACCAGTGCCATGAACATAATTTATAAGCCACCCATGAATAAGAACCAACTTTGTGTATTTCGTGAATAAATGAAAACTTTATTCTGTGTCAAATGTTTATGTTCGATATTATTAGTGACACAGTTTTGACTCATATCGATAATCATTAAAAATGTTTCCTATAGATGATATATCAATAATTTAGCCAGTCCTACAGCTGACTAAGATTTATCTGTGGTTGAACTGGTTTTATGTCAATAAAATTATTTTATTATGTTTATCAAGAAAATCATAAAAACTTGACATTTATTGTGTTGGTTATTCACTGAATATGTTAATTTCTGAAGGGAAGTTTAAGTTTGTTTTAAATTATTCATGATGTAATAATCAGGAAATTATCTAAAACATTCCAAACTTAGTGCCTTGGTAGACATATGTGAAATAATATTTTTCTTTAAAATAATGATTTTTTTGAAGATCTGAAAATGATAATTTCAGAGGAATTTTAACCAGATGTATGAATTCTGCATTGAATAAAATATTGTGAAATTGAGTGTTGGAGCATCTTCCTCCCCTTTGGCCCTTACATTTTATACATTTGCTCAACACTGCAAACAAGCAATCATATCAGTTATAATCATTATAGATGAGTTGTGGATATCATTCAAACAAAACAGTACTTATGCACTTTTTAAAAGGAAATAAAAATTATAACAAATTATGATGCTTCTCAGATTTGTAAAAATCACGATGAAAGATTCATGATTAATCAGATCCCAAATTGTCATCATATATAAATGTGTATGATATAAATATCTCGTGTCTGATAAGTTTTGTTTTGCTAAAAAAAGGTTGACTAAAAAATAAACAGAAAAGTGAGAATGTCGACATCATTGAAGGAGTGTTTTGCATAAAATTCATAATATGGAAAAGAAATCCAATCCTGACTTATCCTGCTGTCATGTTACATGAGTAATGGTTTTATTTGAACCACTGGAGGCGAGAATCTATCATTAAACTGCG